CATACTTTTTTTTTTTTTTTGGTTTTTCGAGACAGGGTTTCTCTGTGTAGCCCTGGCTGTCCTGGAACTCACTCTGTAGACCAGGCTAGCCTCGAACTCTCGAACTCAGAAATCCGCCTGCCTCTGCCTCCCAAGTGCTGGGATTACTTTTTTTTTTTTTTTTTAAAGATTGGTTTATTTATTACGTATACAGCATTCTGCCTGCATGTATGTCTGCAGACCAGAAGAGGGCACCAGATCTCATTATAGATGGTTATGAGCCACCATGTGGTTGCTGGGAATTGAACTCAGGACCCCTGGAAAGGCAGCCAGTGCTCTTAACCTTTGAGCCATCTCTCCAGCCCAGTTACAAACTCTTAATGACTTTCAAAATCTATTGGGGGATATTAACAGATGTCTTAGTGAGGGTTTTACTGCTGTCAACAAACACCACAACCAAGGCTACTCTTATAAGGACAACATTTAATTGAGGCTGGCTTACAGGTTCAGAGGTTCAGTCAGTTTTCATCAAGATGGGAGCATGGCAGCATCCAGTCAGGCATGGTGCAGAAGGAGCTGAGCATCTACATCTTCTACATCTTCATTTGAAGGCTACTAGAGGATGACTCACTTCCAGGCAGCTAGGAGAAGGGTATTAAAGCCCACTTCCACAGTGACACACCTACTTCAACAAGGCTACACTGCCTGGGCAATGCATATACGAATCATCACAACAGATTATAGCCTACTATTGGATTAACTACTCAAGATTTGAGTAATTTGTTTCAAACTTTACAAGGTGATTTAGACTTAAACAATCTTTGACAATTAACAACAGAAGTGGAAAAAAGTTGACTCAAGTAGAGGAAAAATTGCAGGATGCACATGTGGATCAACTAGATTCCAAACTTGACTGTATTCTAGTTATCTTGCCTTCTACTCATTCCTCTATGGGACTCATTATGCAGAAAGAAGACAATATTTTAGAATGGATCTTCTTAGCACATAAACAGAGTAAAAAACTAAAAGCATGTGTTGAAAAGGTTTCTGATCGAATTGTAAAAGGAAGAATAAGACTTTGTCAATTATCAGGAACAGACAGACCCAGCAGAAATCATAGTACCTTATACTAATGCTGAAATTACCTCATTATGAGTAATTAATAAAGATTATCAAAAAGTTTGTAGCAATTATTTGGGAAAAATTAACAAGCATCCCAGAACAAGCAACTCCAGTTTAAAAAAAAAAAAAAACTAATTCGATTCTCCTCATATAGTAAAAGGGACATCAATTTCTGAAGCTCCTACATTTTATACTGGTTATAAGTCAGGAACTATAGAGTAATTCAAAGCCATATGCTTTGGTTAAAAAATCAGAGCTAGCCAGGCAGTGGTGGCACACGCTTTTAATCCCAGCACTTGGGAGGCAGAGGCAGGTGGATTTCTGAGTTTGAGGCCAACCTGGTCTACAGAGTGAGCTCCAGGACAGCCAGGGCTACACAGAGAAACCCTGTCTCAAAAAACAAAAAAATCAGAGCTATATGCAATCCTTATGGTTTTATTTGATGTTTCTGAACCTATTAATACAATTAATGACTCATAATATGCAGAGAGGGTTTTGTTACATATAGACTGCCAAATTTATTCCTGATAATTTAGAATTGACATCACTATTTATACAAATGCAACAGACAATTCGAAACAGAAATTATCCATTATATATCTCCCATGATTGAAATATCGTATGGGATTGCCTGATCCAATGGCACAAGGAAATGAAGAGATTGACCAATTATTAATAGGAAATGTGCTAGAAGCCTCAGAATTTCTTTTTTAAAAAATCGTCGAGACTAGAGTCACATCCTGAGATGGTACTTGTCCTGGTGTGCTAGAGTCCTCGAAGAATAACTGCTGACCTTATTCACTGGCTGTGGACTTTCTGGCACAGTCAGTCACCAGGTTAGTGACATATGCCAAGTTAACCTATTCAAAATTATCTTAAGGGTTGTCTGAATGTTTACAATAGTGAGAGAATCTGCTGGTCTTTATTCACTGGTAGGGGCTTTCAGTGTCCCTGTTAGTGCCCAGATCAGAAACATGGCCTATCATGCCACACATGCTCTACTTCCAGAACTATGGAGATGCTGTTGGTGAATCTCTATGAGGCCATATTTATTACTCTACATTTGAGTTAAAGACCAGCCTCATGTAGACTGTGAAGAGGGGGAGGGAATAAATTAGGTCCTACCTGAATCTTGAGATGTTGAGCATCTGATGTATATTATGAAAAAAAATAAAAATAAATTTTAAAAAATCATGTTAAGAGCAAAGGTTTAGAGAGAAATTTTCCATTACTTCATAACAAGCCAAATAAATTGAAAAAAAAACCTACTTATTATTTGTATACTAACCATAAGGGTGCCCAAAGAAATGAAATTTGGCAGATGTGTGTGTTTCACTCTGCAGAATTTGGGAAAATAAAATTTGTATATCATACAATTTATACATATTCAGGATTTCTTTTTTTTTCCGAGACAGGGTTTCTCTATGTAGCTCTGGCTGTCCTGTAACTCACTCTGTAGACCAGGCTAGCCTCGAACTCTCGAACTCAGAAATCCGCCTGCCTCTGCCTCCCAAGTGTTGGGATTAAAGGCGTGCGCCACCACTGCCCGGCCATATTCAGGATTTCAATGGGCTTCTTCTTTAACTTCCGAATAAGGCTGATTCTGTAACTGCACATATGTTGGAAGAGATGGTTATCATGGGGATATCTTTATGAACTAAGATTGATAATGTCCCTGCATATGTTTCTAGTGAAATTAAATTTTTTTGTTTATTATTACATAAAATATATTACAGGTATATCATACAATCGAACAGGTCTAGCAGTTATAGATAAACCTAATTGTACCTTAAAGGAGATGTTTAATAAACAGAAAGGGGAGTTAAAACTTCCAGAAATAGACTCAATAATGGCATATTAACTTTAATTTTTTGAATGTTAATAAGGCAGGAACAACAGCTGATGAAAGATACTGGGTTATAGAAAAACTCCTGAATTCAATCAATCTGTATACTTTAAAGATGGTTCAACATCAGAATGGAAGTCAGGGAATGTGTTATGTTGGGGAAGAGGTTTTGTTTATATTTCCACAGGTAATGAAAGATCCAATCTGAGTAAGAGAAGCTTCCACATGAAAAGCATGACTCAAGGAATGAAGAGACACAAAAAGATAGCAACACAGATGAAGCAGAAAGCTGACACCCCTGCATGGGAACAACTCAACAAACTGGCTGAAGAAAGACAGATCAGACTGGCAGACTTGAAAGCCTTGATGCTGAAATGGACATTGGAAGGACAGATGATCAGGACTGCAGTTATGAAGGATAATCACATCAACTGATCCTCAGAAGGACATTTGGACTGTTAAGTTTATGGGCTTGATAATTGCCTCTGTTGTAATAGTTAAATAGTATACAATTTTTAGCTTTAATAGGAAGGGGGGAATTTAATCTAGCAATTCTAGCTGGAATACAGACACATTTTTAATCCCAGGAGCAAGCAGATCTGTGAGGTCAAGGCCAGCCTGGTACAGAGCAAATTCCAGATACAGAAAAACTGAGGTCAGGTATAATAGCACATATCTTTAATCCTGACACTCAGCAGTCAGTGGGGAGGAGTGTAATGGAGTTGAGTGTAGCAGTGTGGTTGGTAGCCATTCAGTTCCTGGAGTTTAGAGAGAGTTTTATGGGGATAGTTTTACAGACAGGTTTCAGAGAGAACAAGCTAGACACACGTGAAGATAGAATGAGTCAGAGAATGAGATAGAGCAAGAAGATTAGGACAGATTGCTAGAGTTAGTTTGAGGCCAAGCAGAGCAATTCAGTCAGAAGCTGAGAGAAGCCAGTTTGAATCAGTCAGCCTGGAGAGGAGTTTGAGCCAGAACAGCTGGGTTGAACCAGCCAGCCAGAATTCAGAAAGAGCTAGAAAGGGTGAGCTTATTCAGTAGTTTTCCTTGGAGATAATTATGACAGGTGAATAAAAGTTACTTTTACAGGATCCCTGCCTGTCTTAGGGATACTAACTAAGGGTTACTAGTTGATGTGAAGAAAAAGCAATAATGAAAAACAATAATGAAAAAAGCAAGTTGGGAAGGGTTCATCAGGCTTACACTTCCATATCACTGTTCATCATCAAAGGAAGTCAGGACATTAACTCAAACAGGGCAGGAACCTGGAGGCAGGAGCTGATTCAGAGCCGATTGAAAGGATACTGCTTACTCCTCATGGCTTGCTCAGCTTGCTTCTTTATAGAAGCCAGGACCATCAGCTGAAGTGAAAACTTAAGGGTTCTTTGGAAAGTTGGTTGGATGGTGTTTTGCTGGGGCAAACGTGAAGGAATTTTTGTTTTTGTTTTGTTTTGTTTTGTTTTGTTTTGTTTTGTTTTGTTTTCTTCGAGACAGGGTTTCTCTGTGTAGCCCTGGCTGTCCTGAAACTCACTCTATAGACCAGGCTGGTCCGAACTCAGAAATCCGCCTGCCTCTGCCTCCCAAGTGCTGGGATTAAAGGTGTGCGCCACCACCGCCCGGCCATGTGAAGGAATTTTAACATGTGAAGGAACGTTTTGTTAAAGTGGACACAGGTGTGAAAGGCTAAGGCAGACTCATGAAGGATCGTTTTGCTGAAGCAGACTCAGGGGAGATGCTCTGCTAAAGCAAGCGAATGAAAGGACATGTGATGAAAGAGTCTGCTAACGACACGCATATATTGGTCTGCCTTACACACTGCATAGTTGAGCTGCATTTGTCAGGATGCCATGGAGAGAAATGCATCAAAAAACTTCTGGTGGTGTGCTGCAGTCTATTCCTGCTTTCAAGGACTCAGACTGATTAGATGCATGTGCTGAGACAAGAGCCATGCTGAGGCGAGGCATATGGAGGACACATGATGTTTGGAGGGTATAAATAGGACTCCACATAGTGATGGAGTCAGAGCTTAGCTTGCTGGTACAGCTAGCCGTGCAACGCTTGGGGGTCTCTTGTCTTCACTGATCTTCACATCCCTGAAAGAGGCACAGCTGAGAACTTTTGATGTTTCTGTTGGTCCCTCCTGCTGAGTTGTGCCAAGGCTGAGGCCTGGCTGTCTCTGCTAGGTCATGTAACGGCTGTTGCTAACCCAGCTCTACCAAACTGGACTGCCGGTGTATCTGTGAAGTGTTTGTGAGTGGATTGAACTGCCACTGCCTGTTAACCTGTGAACTGAACTGCTGATTTCTAGACAACACAGGACCTCTTTCTAAAGAGGTCCACTTGCCCCATATCCTTTCTTTTCCACTACCTCTGGTAGGTGGTGGGCTAAAAGCGTTAAAGCGTTTAAGAACCATCATTAAAAATTGGATTTGATTTAATCCCAGCACTTGGGAGGCAGAGACAGGCGGATTTCTGAGTTTGAGGCCAGCCTGGTCTACAGAGTGAGCTCCAGGACAGCCAGGACTACACAGAGAAACCCTGTCTCGAAAAACAAAAATAAATAAATAAATAAATAAATAAATAAATAAATAAAAATAGGATTTGAAAAAAATTAAAGTTACAATCAGCCCAAGGATGGCATCACCCACAAGAGGCTGGGTGATCAATCACTAATTAAGAAGAGGCCTTACAACCAGGTCATACGGAGGCATTTTTCTCAATTGTGGTTTGTTGGAATGATGTTTTTATGCACTGTGTAAAGATTGTCTCTGTATTATATAAATGCTGATTTCTGAACTGGCAGAGATCTGATTACAGGCCAGACGTTGGTATTGTTAAGCATCACCTGTCTCAGTGTTTTGTAAACACTCCCTCTCTCACCTTCTTATTGGTTTATTACAAATCTGAGGACCTATAGCAAAGGCAGGAAGTAGAAGTGGGAATTCCAGGAAGAGATAGGAACTCTGGGAAAGATACAGGTGCTAGAAGATTTACCATGGAGACATGGAGGAAGTCAGACATATGAAACTGAGAAGAGGTAACCAGCCATGTGGCAGAACTTAGATTAGTATAAATGGGATAATTGAGTTACAAGCTAGTTGGGAACAAGCTTACCTTAAGGCCTAGGCATTCAATTATTAATAAATAACCCTCTTTGTCATTATTTAGGAACCAGGGCAGACCTAGAAAAGCCCAAATGGTTCCAGAGGTTCACTCCTTTTCAGTGACTCTAGATTGTGTCAAGCTGACCTAAAACTACCCAGCACAGTGTCTTAACACTGACATACTTATCTCCTGCCATGCTCTATGATTGCTTCACCCCTTGATATCTCACATGGCAGGTAAGGGAGGCATGAGTGATGAGAACCAAAGAGACTTTGGGGGAAAGAAGGGAGAGGTGGCAAGTGCCAAAGCACCCAGAAGACCCAGCCTACCTGAGCCTCATCCATGTCTTATCTCCTAATTAGACTCAGCTCCCTGCACAAGGTGTGACCACTAAGACTTGTAATGTGCCCTCAGTTATATTCCCAATGGACTGTAGTACCCTTCTATGAAAGGGCTACAGAGGAAGAATACTGTTTGGGGGTTTTCCAGCAACACTGTGTAGCTCAGCTCGACCAAGCTGGCGTTGGTGATGAATGCTGCTCCAGTTGGGGAGAAGCCAGGAGTCATGGTGTATGGCCACGTTAGCTTTATGCTTTAGAGTAAACATCCTAAGTAGCAACTGCCTCTGTGCCTGGTATGACAGCAGGCCATGTTAGCCTGCATCAAGGTCTGCCTCTTTACTAACCCAGGACCTGACTTACCGTGCTCAGTGACCCAAGAAGAAGAAGGAAACCTAATACCCAGCTACTCCCTCCTGTGGCGTCTGGTCTTGGCTGACCCACCCTTTACTATGGGCCATCCTCACAGTCTCCCACTTATGATCATGAGAGGAAATGATGGTCAGTGTCAGCTCAAATCCCTGTGGTGGTAGCAGGTCAGTCTTTCCCTCCAGCATACCAGATGGGCCCTACCTAGCCTTGCTAGGCCTGCACTAGAGGAAGAATCCTCTATAATCCCCTGTAAATGCTTCAGAGAGTAGGGCATTAATGTCCTGTTCCTGAGAGATGTTCCTGTGGCAGTAGCAGGG